ATGGAATATTACTCAGCCATTAAAAAAATGAAATCCTACCATTTGCAATGACATGGATGGATCTAGATGTTATTATGCTGAGTGAAATAAGTCAGACAGATAAAGATAAATACCATATGATTTCACTTACATGTGGAATCTAAGGAACAAAAAAGAAACAAACTAATCAAAAACAGACTCACAAATATAGTGGACAATTTGGTGATAGTTAGAGGGGAGGGGGCTTGGGGGACTAGGAGAATGGGGTGAAAGATTAAAGAAGTACAAATTAGTAGTTGATAGTTGGGCATGAGGATAGGGAGCTCAGCCTCAGCACAGGGAATGCAGTTAGGAATAATACGATGGCTAGGTGGAGGACCAGGGGAGGGAGGAAGCAATTGAGGGAATCATTTTATGAACAATGTATACATCTAACCAATGTACTGTATACTTAAAACTAATTTAGATAAATAAATTTATTTTAAAAAAATGCTCTGGGTTGAAGAGGAAGGAAATGAGAGGCCCATATTGGCTGAGGGTCCAGGGATCCCAAAGAGGCTTGGGGCCATAAGGAGATTGGAGACACTCAGAGCAGTGATGTAGAAGAAGTGACCGTTCTAGAAGAGACTGTTGAAGAAACTGCCAAGCTGCAGTGGGGGTCTGCGTGAAAATTTGTTCATGCCCAAGGCTCCAACATGTAACTATTGTTCCGCAGGTGAGGCTTTTAGCAAAGCAAACTCTGAGCTTCCTACCTGCAAGATGGGGAGGCTGGAGAAAGCAAGAAAGCAGAGGTTTGGAGTAGAATCAGACCCACACCCGCAAGGCCCCAGATTGGGTAGAAGGCCAGTGAAATCATGAGGAATTGATGGGTCAAGGCACCAGAAACGTCAGGATTGGAGTAACAATGAAAACCAAAAGCAGCTGAAGAGAGTTAGAAGAGAATTTTAGAAATGGGGGTGGGGTGTGGAGTGATGTAGCAATTCCTATGAATGGAGTCAAAATTCAACTGACAAAGAATGGAGAGAAGTTGTTGGCATGAGAGAGGCTTTCTGATGATATCTGTTAAAGAGAATAGAGAGTGTGAGCTCTGGCCATTCTAGAGTTTTGAGAAAGTTGGGAGAGTGTTTTGGCTTCCAGTCAAAAAGCCTCTAAGTGTCTACTATTTTCCAAGGTCTAATATTTTTGCTGAAAGCAAAGTATAAATGCTGCTTATCTGCATGAAGTTTGGGAAGCAAATACATAAAAATGCGATTTCAGTATAACACAAGAGTTATGAGGAAAGACTACTCAGTCTACTCGGAGAACATCTAAAGGTGGGGATAAGGATCTGCACTGCATCTTGAGGAGGAGAACCACACTGTCATGCAAGAAGGAGGTGGTAGGAGAATTCTAGTACAATGGAACATAGTGAGGAGATAAAGCACAGAGGCACCCAACCTGGATCTGCAGGGAACAGTAACTGGTAAAAATTGCTAGGACCTATAGATTATTGTGAGGTCTTGAGACAAGATCAAAAAAAAGTAAGGTTCTATTACCAAGGACCTTACCAGCCCTCTAACAGAGACTGGGTGTGGGGAACCATGGAAGGTTTTCAGGCATGAGTGCCATAGTCAGATCTGTATATTCAGAAGCTGTCCTGGCTGCAGAGTGGGTCAAGAGTGTAGGGGAGATGGAGATGAGAGTGAAGGGGATATGGGGCTAGGACCAAACCCAATGCCCAGAGCCTATCTGGGGCCTATTTTAAGTGATGGTGAAAGAGAGAATCAGGACAGCATTAAAAATGAATAAATACTTAAAAAGTAAAATTTGCTATTGTTTGGAGATGATAGAAAGGAAGGAGTCAGGCTTCTCTTGTGCAGAGATCTTTCCAATCCCCCAAGTGGCCAAGTTAGCCAGCTGAGGATGTTTAGCTTTTTTATGAGTTTTCGAAAAATCAAACCCAATATATAATACCTACCAGCAATGAGATGTTTGGAATAGTTATAGACTAAAACAAATTTTTGAATGTCTCCATCATTCCTTTGTCACTTATGTGGGCTTCATTCCTCCCTTCCCTCTCATTATATCCATATACTTTATACCCATTTCCTTGAATAAGTACATTATGCCAAGGTCAGATGAGAAGATGATCAGCATATTTTATTAGTTCTCAATTAACTTCCATCATGTAGCTTCATAATGAACTAAATTCAAAAGAATTTTATTTCACTTTTCTTAAGACTTGCATGGGCTTCTGATCAAGATTGCAAATAAATACAACCAATATTTAAATTTATTTTTTTTTTACATAATATGGCTTAATTCACATTTTTGGCAATCAGTTACTGAATTCATTTTGTTGCAACATCTTTCATGGAATGACTTCAGCCAGGTGACAAGGTTTGTGGAACTCCACAAAGATTCAAAAACAGCTCAGAGATCATCTTTTAAATTAATGCTAGGAGATGAGTAGCTGGAGTAACAGGCATTTTTAAATGGTTGGTCCAAAGCTCTGACAGGCAGTACAGACTTGTGGAGAGGTGAGGTCTGTTAACCTATCTACCTTTAATGATACAGCAACTGGAATCTTTATCATAATAACAGTACCTACTATATATTAATATTTTTATAGTGACCTCTGACTATAGTAGTAAGATGAATTGTGTTTGCTTATATATCTTAGCCACAAATGGTACACCCAGTGCCATTAAAGGAACAAGTTGTTTAAAATATGCTTCTTAGGCATGTAGTAAGACTTTCTGGTTGACATCCAGGTAGCAAACACAGACCAAGAAATGGTTCCTTCCTCTCAGGCTGTAAGAGGAAGAAATCAAGAACCTTCAAGCATTCTGTCGTCTCTGGATGTTGAATTGCCACCTGTTTGCTATGACTTAGATGTTTAAGTTTTCTAGTGCCTTATAGTTTGT